CACCGCAAAACACGTCTTCCCTGCAGACTGCTGCCAAAAGTGCGGGTCATCGCTGCACTTCACGCGGCACTGCGATGCCGACGTTCACAGCGCCGGTGAATCGGCGAGGCCGCAGGATCACACGGGATTAGACAATGCTGCCGCGGCCCACGCTGTTGTACCCAAGAAACAAGACAAAGCAGGGCACCATGAGCCCCCTAACAAGAAAAAAGAAAAGCCTCAACAAAAACAAGAGCAGCGGCATGTCGCACTGTGCACGTCGAAGGATCATTGCGAGCACTGCGGCTCAGATGTGCACTTTTCTCGCCACTGTGCCTCAAAGTGAGCTGCACAGTATGGGGGAAAGAAGACGATGAGGCATAAAGGGGACGTGCGTTTAAAGACGGTTAAATCAACAGCGGCGAATGGGGAACTGATGAGAAGAAACTCTTTTTTTTTTTCTGCAAATAATAAAAAAGAAAAAGGAAGGAAGAAAAATGAAAGGAAAACAAATATGCGAGAAATCAGCAGCAACAACAAAAAGAAGAAGGCAGATAGTTGCACGCGGGAGTTCCGTATAATCCGTAGTCAATGTTGTACATGTGTATTGAAGTCTACTCTTTGCTAAATGTGTTATTGGGTGGTCCCGTGAGTCCGTGCGGTTAACTGATTGACTCATTCCTTCCTTTTTTCCATCCCAGAGGAACAGGAGGTACAAAGGGCATATATATATATATATATACATTGTAGCTTTGGGCATGGCGTCGAAGAAACCGCGGCATCGGCCAATCAGCATCGACGATGACGCAGACATTGACTTTTCTGCAGTGACGAAGAAGGCAGCCCCGGCGAGGCCCGCCGTTCCTCCCACACTACTGCAGTGCACGGTGACAGACACGGCACAGAAACAAAAGGAGACAGCAGTGGTGCTGCAGGCAGTGGACCCAAGACTCAACTCACAGACACATCGAGTTGCTGCACGCCGTCGTGTTGGCTTCGGTGGCGCCCCGGCGATCCCACCAGTGTTTAATTCAACAGCCCCACTTGCTGCCACTGGCATGACAGCGTCTGGCGTCACGAGTAACAATAGTGGTGGCACCGATGATGCCAAAAGAAGTAAGGAGCTGCTGGACGCCTTCTGGCGCGAAGATGCGGCGCGGAAGGAGGAGGAGTCATGCCAGACAAGACGTGAAACATACGAGCAGCGGCTGCGAGCCCTTTGGCACGGCGAAGTTATTACTTCGGAGGAGACCTTGAACGCAGGACGTGTTGACGCCGCGCCGCTCCAAAAATATTTCTTGCTGGATCAATTCTTTGAAGATGGTGTTCCCGACGTGGAGCCGTGGGACCTCTGGGCGCTCTCCATGCCACGTTATGGAGCGGCAAACTTGGCTGCAGGGCCCCTCGATCGTGTGCATCACCCCGTGCTACCCGGGACACACTACTCACAGCACTACCAGCACCGAGCAGAAGAAAGACCGGTTGAGGTAAAGTTGATGAAGACTCGGGAGGAGTTACGTGCGGAGCGTCGGGAGCGACTACGCAAGGAGAAGGAAGTTCGTGATTACGCGAAGAAAGTTGCTCACCAGGAGCAACGAAACGAGGCGCAGTTCGGCGGCGAACTTACGGCCGCATCGCTCGGTTCCACGGCGAAGGATCGTCTCACCAACAACAACCTTCGCCTCAATCTTTTTAGTGACAGCGTGATGAATCCACTGAGCACGGAGAATAAAGTTTTTTCACAGTACCAAGAACGATTTCTTGAACACCAACGCCGTAATCACGAACGTCATGTGGCGGCAATTCCGCAGCAGGTTGAAAAGCGCAAGCGTGACCTCAAACGGCACTCTGAGGAACGGCCAGTCTTTAGAGTCTATCGCATTTACCCCATTTTTACCCCTGCACATCTTGGGAAGCTGCGAAACTTTGCAAATGATGGTCTGTTGCGTGGTTTTATCCTTTGGGTGTGCCGGTGCGATGCATTGGTGGTGTTGACAGGTGGGGAGGTTGCGGTGCGGCATTTGGAACGTTGGATTTTGGAGAAAATGAGGTGGGAATCTTCTGAGACGGTTGCTGTTCGGTTGGTGACATGTCCACTGCAGGACGCCACGACGTTTTCATTTGTATCAGAGAAAAGTCGAAAACGTGGAAGTCATCCAGCACGGACGAGGGAGAAGGAGGAAGAGGGGAAGGAGGGCGATAAGAAGAGGGTGAATAGGGATGAGAAGAAGAGAGAGGATGGCACCGAGCACGTCTACATGAACTTTGTGGATAGTGTGCAGGAGGGTGAGAGTTTTATGCGCTCCATGCCAACTGAAGGGCCGTGGCGTGATCTCTCGCACATTTGGCGTGCCGCACTCGCACCTGGGGTTGGACGTAACACAAACTTGTCTTGACGACGTGGGAGGTGAAAGGGGGCGCGTCTTTGAGCGCGAGGGAAGAATAGCGAGAAAGATGCGTGCTTATAACAAATGCTGCGGAGCCGGCATATATCAGAAGGGAGAAGTCGTGTATTGTTTTGTGTCCTATTTGCCTCTCTCTTTTCGTACCGTGTGGTTGGCCGTGGCTCAAATGACTCATGTGTTTTTCTTTTTTGTCGCTCTTTTTTCTTTTTTTTTTGGACATTTTTTCCTTTTTCTTTCCTTTCTTCTTCTTCTTTTTTTTTTTTTTTGACGCGCCAGTTAAAGGTTCGAAATTTTTATTTTCCTGATTTACTTTGAGAGTGTACGGGTTTTCTACAAGAGGCGGTTGATAAGAATGTTCAGTTACCCACCATTTTCCCTTACGAAGCCTATGTATGACACGGACACCTACATAGGTCGCAGTTTATACTTTTTCTTCTCCATCAATCCGCTGCTGTGCTTCCAGACGGAACGCATGCTGATGCAGAAGAGGCTTCTCTTGGACCGTGTGGCGGCGGGTGAGAAGGTGTCGGTAGACGACAAAACGCTCTGGAAGGCACGCATGGCCATTGAAAACTGCGTGCATCCGACCACCGGAGAAGTAATCTTCCCCCTGTTCCGCATGTGTGCATTTCTTCCAATGAACAGTCTTATCGTACCCTTTATGATGACGCCAGGAACCGTCAGCAGCGTTGCGCGGACTGTATTCATCCAGTGGTTTAACCAGAGCTATAACTCTGCTGTGAACTACGCCAATCGTTCCTCTGAGAAGCAGAAGCTGGGGGAATTGTCGAAGGCGTACGTTGCGGCGGTGGGTATTTCCGTTTCGGGCGCATTGGGCGCGACGGCGCTGCTTAAGCGCGTGCCGAGTGGCACCCTGCAGGCAACGGTCATTCGTGCAACGCTGCCGT